ATTTTAATATACTTTTAAAACTAAGTTTCTTGATTTTAAATTTTAATATACTTTTAAAACTAAGTTGATTGATTTTAAAAATTTAACCTACTTTATATATCTTAAACTAACTAAATTTTAATATACTTTTAAAACTAAGTTTCTTGATTTTAAATTTTAATATACTTTTAAAACTAAGTTGATTGATTTTAAAAATTTACCTTGGTATTGCAAATGAGAGAAACTGAGATTGTTGGTTGTGTGCTAGTGAGCAAATGAATCTCGGTTGTTGGTTGTGGCACTTGTGCGATTGTTGGTTGACAGAATGAAAATAGAGATTGTTGGTTGTGTGTGAGTAAATGAATCTTTGTTGATCGATACAATTGAAAAGAAATAGAGAGAATGTTTGCTAGAGAGAAAATGGTAATGTTTGGTAGACAATGAAAATGAAAATCAAAGAGACCCATATTTATATAGAAAAGTGATGTTCTTGCATCTTACAAAATACTTTCTCGTGACACACATACATTTTGTCACATACACTTTCTCGTGACTGAACACATACATACCAACAAGTGTAGCAAAGAAACAAAATGCTACACTCTGCCGTGAAAGATAAAAGAAGTGTAGCAAACAAACAAAATGCTACACTCATCAAGCCGTGAAAGAAATACATAAAAACAAACGACCAAGCTACCCGTGACCATCACCACTGTCCCTGCCACCCGTGACCCTGTAAAACAAAACAAAACAAGAGAAAGCAGTTAGCAAAAACAGATCAACCAAGTTTAAACATATCAACCAGCTAGCAAGCAATATAAACATATCAACCAAGTTAAAGCTAACTAAACCAGCTAGCAAGCAATATAAACATATCAAACATATCAACCAGCTAGCAAGCAATATAAACATATCAACCAAGTTAAAACTAACTAAACCAGCTAGCAAGCAATATAAACATATCAACCAAGTTAAAACTAACTAAACCAGTTAACACACCAGCTCAAAGCATTTCAGCCATGATTTTGTTCTTCAAACTCTCTTCAGTTTCAGTTAGAGTTTCTTTTTTCCTAAGGAGACGCTCCAGTATTTTCTGTTTGGAAATGAGCTGCCTCATATCTAGCATTGTCTGGATTTGATCATAAGCCGCCTCGTTCCCGTGTTTCTTTCGCTTGGCTACTTTGGCTGCCTTAACACCGGGCGGCCTAACCTCTTCCACGTCCGGTTCCATGTGCTCTGCTTCCTTCCTTTTCTCAGTTTGACCATCTCTG